AATGTCTTACCTGCACTTTTTGTATTTTCATCGGGTGCCAATGTTTCTGCATGACTTAAATCAGATGCAGAACTCCGAATAGAACTTTCACTATCATCTTCCATTTGGGGCGTAGGCGTATCGTATCCTGCGACAGATGACGTTGAACTACTTCCACCTTCATTAGCTGTATAATAAGATGATAAGGAACGATCATTTACACTTGCATATGACGATGAATCAACAGTTACTAAACTGTTAGGTGGTAATGCCGAACGATAGGAGTCTGCTGATGAAACGCTTTTCGATGAATTTGTACGTGGCAACGATGTTACATTTTCTGGTGATAGAAACGTATGAAATGACGATTCACTTGTACGAGATGACAATTTGACACTATTTTCTAGAAGAAGTAAAGTATACGATAAATAAAAAAAAGCATATATTTCATAAACTTGCAATGTAGAAAAGTGTATAATAATAATTACCATTAAGGAGTGTTCCATCATTTTCTTCGGATAAATCATTGCTGATATCGAATGAAATGTCATGTAATAATGGATCATTTTCGTGTTGTATTTGTGGTATATTATTTATCGTGCTGGTTAAATTGAATTCAATTTGCTCTGACATACTCTTCTTGTTCAACTCTGATATTTGAGGAGTAACGTTAACTAATGTCGTTTGTTTTCGCACTTTACACTTTTGAATATCATAACATTGATTTTTTAATTTGTTATGCAGTCGTTGTTGATCCAAACTGTAGACATTCGATAAAATTGTTTTAAGTTCTGAAATAAATATAAAGAAAAAAAAATAAAAAACAAAAGAACAATAGTCAGTCACACTCTATTTATCATGTTAATAAAATTCTTTCGTTTCTATACTTGTGATAAAAAATAATATATCTAGATATGTCGATGTAAATACAACTCGCATTTCTTTTTATCATTAATATGACAAATTTTTGTTTTATTTTAACTACATGTGAATTAACAATATGTTCATCACATATTTTTAAAAATATTATAAACTTAACCTCTGTAGATTTCTTATCTTTAAATAGAGTTAAAAATAAAACAATAAAAAAAGATAATTTACTATCTACTTTTGACCGATATACTTTTCAAAAGAAATATAATCAGACGTAAACACATTTCAAAATATTTTAAATTACAAATCAAGATTATTTTTTTATGCTTCTTGAAATTTAACATTTTCTCTGTTTAAGATTCGAAGATTTTTTTTACTAACAGTTAGTTTGAACAAAGTAAAATTTACGATGATTAATCTCAAATACATTCAGCGTTTAAAAACTGAATATTTACTTGTATGTTTTCCTACCCATATACATCACCGATTACAGAAAGGTTGCACGTAAATCTGAGGTGCAGAATTTTCTTTATTGTATATATATAGAGAGAGAGAGAGAGAAAGAGAGAGTCATTGCGAAATAAATAGTATATTTTAAAAATATTACAGCGCAATTTCTATAGGCTTTTGGATTACCAATATTTGGTAATGTCTCATCATACTAGTTTAAGAAGTTCATGTTGAGTGCTTGTTATAAAATCCTTATTTTTGACATTTACATTCAAGAATCAAATATTTCTACTTTAACTAAACATTTTCAAATGGATTTCAACACATCATTCGATAGAACTTGAGAAGTTGTAAGTTAGTGAGACAAGTTTCAAGGTTATAACTGAAACTTGTGATGAAGATAATTGTCTTTGAAAAATAGTCCTTAGACATAATCGGATAAAACAGAAATATACACTATAGGTTCCTGTATTCTTGAGGTGTTCGATTTTAAAAATACTTATGCATAGTCGAAAATCCTTGAAAGTTTGATTCAAGCTTCATTTCCAGTATAGATAATTATATGTTTCTGTTTTATCCGATTATATCTAAGGTCTATTTTTATAAGGCGGTTTTCAAGTTCTCAATAGGTAATTTCGAACATTTGATCTCATTGTCTTCATCACAAGTTTCACTTATAACCTTGAAACTTGTCTTACTAACGTACAATTTCTCAAGTTCTGTGGAATGATGTGTTTGAATCTATTTGAAAACGTATAATTGAAATAGAAATATTTGATTTCTGGACGTACATGTCAAAAAAAAGATTTTATAACAAACATTCGACGTGACCTAGACAATAGCTTTAGTTGTCGAATAATACGGCTGACGATGAAATACTTATTGAGACCTAAATTTTTAGTTTTAGTCCAACTTTCATTACAACCAAAGCGCGCTGAAAACTAATGCTATACAGATCAACACGAACGAAAATTTTTGTTTCGAAGACACCACGTTTTTAATTTCCTGGTGTTCTTCTATGGAGTGAGTGAGCATAAGAATGGTTCATGAGAGTCTCATACATAGACACAGCAGTCAAGCGGTTGAAGAAACAGTCTATTTAAATATTTGTATCGTGTACTACACTGTTTTGCTTTCAATCATATCAATGAAAGAAAGTTTAAAGTATTAGTAGACAACAACAAAATCTCAGTTCATCGTAGTGAGAGCACCATCATAGGCAAACAGTTTATTTTTAGTTATCAGTTGAAGTTTTTATGTTGTTGTTGTTGTCTCGACTTTTACAATGTGATTAAAAATATCATCGGCATACCTGATGTTTCTCTACATGTAAGAATTCAAAATAACAAAAGGAGATCATTATATATATATATATTGACAAAATACTTTATTGTATATTTATGCGCATACCCAATTCTATCCCCTTTGTATATTTGCCTAGAGCTTACTTACAAAATATGGTTGTGATCAGTTACAACTGTCTGTGTTGGCCTTTTTTTTTTGACATATGATTAACAAGTCCTATAGGCTCAAAGTAAAATAGGTGGCTAAGATGAAGAAAAAAGAAAAATTTCTGCTTTTTTTGGCACTTGTCCATACAAAGATGTTTCTTTCTTTTTTTATATACTGTCCTACAGAAGAAGAAAAAATGTAATTTATTCTTTTTTTGTCTTTTCTTATTCTGTTCTCTATGCAATATCTATGCTTCTAATATTTGAAATACAAAAATTCAGCTTCTTCTAGTTTGTCTCTTTACTTCATTCCCCTTCCTCAATTATACTCCTCCTTTTTTGTGTTCTGTGTTGGTTCCATTTTTATATAGCTATAAGTTACATTTACCAACTATATACGCTCCACTTCGTTTTTCGATGTCAAAAATAAAATATAGAAAAAAAGAATAAAAAATAGATGTATAGCAAGCAAATAGTAAAAATGTGTTGCAGGAAACACGTTTCTTTTTCTTGACACGTATAGAGAATAATAAATAAATTTATATTTTTGTTGTGGGGGTCACACTAGTCACATTTTTCAGACAATAACTCTGATGAAGACAATGCGATCATGGTAATAGTAAATAAAAAACACAACGGAATTAACATAGTAATATACACAAACCATATGGATCAGATAAGATATGTCATTTAACATGGTGCTAATTTGTATCGCATTTGGAGTTAATCGAATCATCAATGCTTGTAAAAAAGATCATTCAGTATTATTATTCGAAGAAAGAAAAAAACAACTTTGAGCGAATACAAAAAACAAAAAATGTTGACACTTTTTCCCTCTATCTATTATAATAAATCATATTCCTTCATGATGACATATAATAATGAAGATTATTTTCCATTGTTACCCACATCATATACATGCTCAGTTCATCTCAAATTTATAACGAAAAAACTGCCTTTCAAATTTCAATGCGACTAATACTATGTATAATGCGTTGAACCATTGTATACACATCAAGTACTTTGAAGAGAAAACTAACTAAACTATTAATTTATTGCACGACTGTATCCGAGGTGTTCCCGTTAATACATCACTTTTATATCCTTGTTCACTCAAATTTTAGTAGAAACTTGCTCTGATGAGAATCACAAAATATATGGAGTTTTAACAACTTTCAAGGACTCTTTTCAACAAAATTTGTTACATTCATAAGTATTTGCTAACAAGATAAACCACAGACACAAGTATAAATACTCTAGAACAATCGCATCGGAATATGTATAAATGTGGTCTATTTGATTTGATACTGATTGAATTCAGGCGTCTTAAAATCTTCTGCAGCCATCTCTCATTCGAATTATTATACAAATATGGCCGATCGGCAATACGAATGTGCAACAAAAGATGTGAGAACGTAGTTTTCGACATTTCGGGTCAGACATTTATCGTTCTCATCAGTAGGTTACGTTCAGTAATTTTCTGAGTTGTTGTTGTTGTTCATCTGCTGGAGAATATTATCTTCAACTTTAGAGACAGAAAATTTTCAGATGGAGTTCCAAACGTGAAAAACATGTAGATCCTGTTAATATTTTTAACGTTGTATTCCAAGAAAATGTTACCAGAAAGACAGGCTTTTATGCTCTTATCTTAAGTGACTACTTTGAAAGAACAGAAAAAACAAGTGCATCATAGTTAAAATTGAGAAAAGTGCAAAATCCTCTGGATTCTGTGATATTTGCTAAACTTCATCGAGAAAATAATATCTAACACCAAGATAAATGTTATACTACGAATCTGTACAAAAATAAGAGACGATAGCAATATCTTTCATCTCTTTTCTGCTATTTTGATTTTTGACACAAAAATTCGTGCTCGATCCCGCTCACAGAAATCAAATAATGTATTTTTCTGTTTTGCACTATTATGATCTGGGATTTCGTTATATGCTAGGCAGACAAAAATCAAATGTTATCGCGTACAAAATAATCGACTATGGAGAAGATGAATCTGCAATTGGTTTTGACCGATGAAGCGTTTAAAATTTTTCGATTTGGTGGTATGCCAAATAGCTCTTGAAACACTAGTTGGAATATAAATCATGAAAAGTTTTGGATCCTGAACAGTTTTTTGCTCAAAATATGTGATTTTAGAGTAAGTTTGATATACATCGTTAACTTGTAAACGCTCAGCATATCCATAGCCAGAAGCCTATTTCCAAAAAGGTGCTATGAATTAATATTCTATCACGTTCTTACCTTTTGTTGGATAAATAGTCGAGTTCCATTGTTTATGATGACTTGAACCATCTATTGATGTTTTTATCATATGTCGAACGGGATTATATTTAATTGAGTGAATATTTACTTTTGTGTTTTGTTTACCTAGAGATAACTGAACAGGTTTATACCAGTTTGACGATTGTGCAACACGTTGTTTTCCAGGAATATAAACTGATATACTGTATTGCGATAATAATTCAGATAAAGGTTCTTTAAGTGAATTATGTCCCGACAATGATTGTGTAGGACTATTCAGTGAATAATCTCCAACAAAAATCTTTGGTAAATTTACGCTAGAATCCGACTCGACATGTTCACCATCAACATTATTTATCCATGTTCGATGCCGTCCAATTGTTCCATATGATTGCGTTTTTCGTAATACATTTGATGGTGTAGTTATGTAATCATGATTAAACCAATCAGGCAATTGTAATTTTGTTAATGAATTATGTAAACGTTTTTCATAATCATCTCGATTCCAACAGTTCATTTGTGAATTTTGACAAGTTTCACCTTGTTTTCGATGATTAGAAATAATCATTGGCATTGTTGATAATTTTTCAGAGCAGTCTACCGTATTAACATTTATTAACGGTTAAATGCACCATGAACATCTTTTCGAGTAGTAGTATCAATAAACACGAGGCCATGTTCATTATGATTAAAATATGAGAATATTTATTTTATTATTATTATTATTTTCACGATTTAACTTGTACATACCTCATCAATAACATCAAACATAATTTGTTAATATTTATTTAATCATGGTTCATTGTTCTTTGTAATTGAATATGAAGTGTTTTAGACGTTGATCACTAGTTTTCAAAATATTTTGTACATAGTCGACGTGATTGAACAAACACAAAGAGTGTCGCTTACACTTAACACTGTACTCATTTGATATGCGAATGACAGCTGAAAGGTATAATTTTATTCGTTTGTGAAAGTTTTTTTTTTCTTCTTCGTATATATACACATAATAAACCAGGTCGTCATGCTCAATTATGATCGATAGTAGAGAAAGATCACTCGCTGCTTAACTCTTTTGTACATGTATCATGATAAAAACACTAGAAAGAGAAAAAAAGACAAATGTATATTCAGAAGATTCTTATAAATATTGAGCTTCTAAACCACACACACACTTCGATGTGGTATTTTTCAATGGGAAAAAGAGAGAGAAAACGTTCATCTTTCGCGTGTATGTTCAATACTGACGGACGAAGTTCTGTTCAAGAAAATATTATTTACGATTTTCAAATTGAAACATATTTGGGAGAGAAAGAACATTTAACAGGTTTCTTTTTCTCTCTCTTGTTTTTTAAATATATTTCGAAATGGAACGATGTACGTGAGATCAAAATCAACGTTAATATATGGATTAAAAGTCAGATAAACAAAACGAAGTAACTCTTGACAAAAACGTAGTTTTTTTCTGCATATCAAGAGAAAAGTCATAATGAACTATGTGACAGCATGTCACATAAACTTTTATCACAGGTAGACCGAACATATTAACAGAACCCAACAAAAATATTGTTTTATAAAATCTAAATCTTATATTTTAAATTACGACAAATAATTAGTAAATAGATACTGGACAGCACAATCAATAATGTGTACATCTGTCATGATTACATAATTGATCTCAAATAGATTTTACTTTAATTAAACTTGTGATAAAATATTGTTACTGCTGTCTGACTTTCTCGAAAAAAATATCAACCGTATCATTCCTTTCTCGACGGCATCTCTCTTGATCCTGAGCAAGAATAAAAGACTTTGTCCCTGTCTAGAGATTTAAGTAATGAAAACATAGTATTGAATAACACTGATTTGAAAGAAAAAAATTCATTGAAAGCAACACAAACAAAATATCTTGAACAATGTGTTCAATTCTTCTTCTTTATCTAGATTATCTTATATATTAATGATACAGAACCGATTAATCCGTGTGGAAGAAAAATACATTATATAGCATTGAATACAGTTTGTAACAAAACTGATCATACACGCCTTATAGAAGCTTCACAGCATTCAGGCGGCACATTTGGCAAAAAATCGAACGTGTACTTTTGCCACATTTAAATACTATCATATATACTTCGATATATGGGCTATGGAATAACACTAAAATTTTTGTTCTCACTGGTGAATTGTCGGAGAAACTCCATAAGTCAAGAAATGGACTAGCTTATAGCCACCTTCCGGAAAAATCATTTTTTTCATAAATGAAATAAATTTAAATTATAAAAATATATATTCGGAATCTAGATGTTTGTAGCTATCTATCTAGAAAAACTTTTTCATTTAAAAGTTAATCTAGGGGCTAAAAAAGGCTTTTTCCCGAAGCGAAGTTGTTTTTCAAGCACTGTTTGCACCATATTGTCATCGCTAAAGTTAGCTAATACCGAAACTGACTCAAAATTATACCAAAATTTTGTTCGTCATGTGTTCTATCTACGATCAATGCAGTTTTTATTTGCGGTCCGAATACCGGTGTTCCATAAAACCTTGGTTATTCAGATAAAATGCATTTTATGCTACAAAAGAATGTTTATAAAGAAAACTAAGGTGATATTTGGAAGCGGTGGGGAAAACTGCATCGAATGATGTATAATTTGTAAATTTTTCTGAGAAATAAATCTTTCATGCAAATCTAGTACAAAGGACTCTCAGATTTTTCATAGAAAAAAAACTTTTTTCGAATTCTACTTTTTTTAAATTCTGGTGAGATTTGAGAAATAAAAAAGCAATATTAAGCAAAAATAATGGCTTTATAAGCTAAAGAACCACATGTCCGCCTGCTCTATGGGAAAATGCCCAATGTGAGCTTATGATTAATATTTCTCGAAAGCAGAACCACCTGCAGCGTTCGGAGTTTCGTTAAATGTTGCAAATTTATTGTAGTTTATTTACTTAAAATAGAAAGTATTTATATCATACAATCATTGTGCGAGGCAGGAAGAGTGAAATGGACAACTCTCTTCTTGCAACAAAATTAATCATGCAGTTCAATTTTTTAAGTTTTTACATAGTAGACTTCAGTCTTTATTTCTCTATCGAACCTGCTGTTTTGATACTTTCAGATTGTTAAATCCGGCAGGATCCTTTCCTCAAAAACCTTTTTTTTGAGAAGATCTCGAAACTTACCTTTTTACAGGAAGATATCTTCAAGTCTCCTCTTTCCAACAACCATAACCTGCATAATTGCTCGAGAAGATGTTGTTCCACACATATTAAAGATGAGTTTGAGAATGTCACGTCACATCGAAGATGTATTTTATTACCACTAACTGAGCACTTTCTTTTAACATAGTTGATGATGGATTGTTGTATTTCTCAATTCATTGAGAAAGAAGCATATCGTTTTCTTTATGACGCACCCGTTACATCTGATCGAGAGCTTTTAACCATGATGAACAATATTTATATTTAATCACGATTATAAAATATGTGTGATAGCAATAATAATGAACCAAAAGTTAACCGTCATTTAAAATAAATCGAAGTGTCGCTGCACACGATAAAGAAGCTCATTTTTTGTATGAGTGAGATCAAAATGAATCCAGTAATCTTATTCAATCTGATAAAAAAAAAGAAGAAAATTCTTTAACGGCAACAGAAAACGTTTTTCAACGTGTGATTATGCCGGCATCAATGTTTCCAGTGGTCAATTTTTTCACACATAAGTACCGTTTCTCCATTAGCAATTAAGGAGTATCATTTTTTTTCAAAAGCGTCGACAAGGACGTTGATCCTGTCCTTCAAAGCACTATTTCTACCAACATTGTGATATCTAACATTGTTTTTTCAGGTTAACAAAAGTTTACAGCATAGACTTTAAAAATTTTCAGGGAAAAAAAAGAAGAAGAAAAAACTTCACAGTACCTCAAAAAGCATGTAGGATTAGTAAAAGATTCATTAGCAAAGGATACTTCTTGTAAATCTTCTGTTATTGAGGCGATTAGGTATTCTGCAAATCCTTAGCGCGTTGATAAAATTTTTAAAGTATTCTAGATGAATAGAATGAACATTTTACCACAACATCGCCCGTATTCATTAGTTATTCCACTCGAACAATCAGATAGAAGAACCCCATACTTACCTTTCTTTCGATAAAGGCGCGCATTTACTATGATCATAATTAACTCGTGCATAATGCTAACACACACAACTTGAAAAAGATCCTGTCAGATTTCAAACGTATCTTCAAGCCATAATTCATATACGATTTTGTACAGCTCTTAACGACGGATCTAATTTATCTATCTCTACGTGTGTTGATTCCTTGTGGTCACTGAAACTGACACGCCAACGAATTTGATGCTGAATGAACCTGGCGTAAAAGCCAAGGGTCAGATTTCGTAACGAAGAACAAGATATTTTTTAACCCATATTCTTGTAGAACGATGAGCGTTCTACAAATTTATTGTTTAATTTACATTAGCAGTTGATTCTTGTACGAGAAACTGGTCAGTTTTGAAAAAGAATCGATTATATCCATATTACATGTATACAGCACCCATGGGGAAATTTTATTGGCTTTTCACGCGTGAGGGACCGTGAAATGTCAGCTTGGACTTTCAACGAAGAGAGTAAGTTCTGACTCCAGAAAATGTATGAGAAATTTTGTACTTATGCTTGCCGGTCAATCTTCACGACATTTCACGCGTAAGAAAGTTTTCACATAACTCGTTTACACTTCTCGAGACTAATACAAAATTCGACCACTTTTAAATACTATAAAAATTTTACACAAAACAAAAGCGAATTTTTTTGTAATTTGGTACAAATAACTATAGTGTGCTTACTTATATTATAATATATAATTTTAAAAAATTTTAAAGTCTTATAAAATATCTTTGGCTTCTTAAATTATTAAAGTAAAATATTTTTTATAATGTATGACTGTGGCTGTATAAAGTTACAATTGCGGAGAAAAAAGTTGTTGTCTATTAGTAGAGCAAATAATAAAATAAAATTACTTCATCAGATTCATTAAATCAAATTTACTAATTATTTTACTGGTTCGAAACTTGGAATATCATTCACAAACAACGTGAATTTGTAGCTAATCCACTATCGTGCATCTAATGAACCCATGCTCGACGTCGTCAGAGAATCTTTATGGAATCTATAGAGAACTTTTTTAGAAGTAATGGGATGAAAATATTGGGATAGATCTGGTACAATGGGTTTTCATAGAAAAGCAACTATAGCGGATCCAGTGGCAAATCTATACGTCCAAACCCCCTAAATCACTATAAGAACCTTTCCGGCAACATTGAGACGTAATACTCGAAGCGAACATTGATAGAAAATTGAATATTTTATCATAGCTTCATATTTCAATAAATCCTGAGCGTAGCCCAGATTTTGTTAGTGGATGGGCGCTGCCCCAAGTTTTTTCAAAGTGGCAGACATTAGCGCAAAGTAGTATGAATTATAAAACTTTTAGTGGGTAGGCGTAGTGGCGTAGCGCACTCGGTGGCTACGGCACTAGTAGAAAGCTAAAATAATAAAAGTTCCTTGACTTCTCGTACATAAATTTGCAAGGTTTAATGACGAAAATGCCACGGGAGTATTTACAGGAAACATGCAGAATATTTGCCGTAGATGTCGACAAAGGATGTACAAATTAAGAAGATCGATTTGTATCATAAAATCCGTAAGAGAACGCCACGTCCTACATCTATTCATGCTTGCCTGTTTGTCAAATTGTTGCATATCAATGGATCATAGAAGGGTTGACAATTTGGCAATCTGATCACTAGTAGTTAGTGATGTAATCTTACCACCATCGTCTCAAAAACCATCGGTACCATGGCACTCCAGATTGACTGTTTGACTAAAGGTTTTCTTTTGGTGGCGAAGGCAATGGAAAGAGAGACATGTATGGTTGTTCACTGCCAATAAGAATAGCCACCAGAAAAAAACAAATTAGTCTTGAATGTCCAAGGTTCCTTCCTTGCGGTATTTGGTTTTGTCTTTCTCCAGACAATAGTGAGCGTCTTTTCGTCTAAGATCACTTAGCGGATGAATTGAATATGGAATGAAAATTATCGATTATCTGACCAACAAAATGTGAACTTAGCTTTTCTAATTCGTTACGTCACTTGTAACATATCGCTCGATTACTTTAGTAATAGAGCACATGTGTCTGATTTCGTTATGATAACAACTCACTAATCAAATCAAGCAGTTCACTCACCAATGCGTACTTTGAACTGAAATACAAGTCGATAACGAATTTAATGTGTAAAAAAGCTTAGATTCAAGTCTATGTATATATATATATATATATATATATATTCTTTGATGTAGTACTGGGGGTCGCATCACGCAAAAACTTAAGTCAAAGTCTAGACTTAAGTCAGATTTAAGTGTATAAAATTAGCATGTAAGTGCACATAACGAAGACTTAAGTCAGACTTAAGCTTTTTGTGATACGATCCTCTGATGGACTAGTAATGTTTAATTGTTGTTGAATTACATATCCTATCATTGACTTCACATAATCGGTCATGAGCATGAGATACATCGATTTAAACTATATTGTTTAAAGATGAGAAAAAACTCTTCATCTAATTTTTTCATTTTGTCTAATTGAGTGTTTTATCTTTTTTAAATGAAAGGAAAAAATTTTTGTTATATATCAGAAAATTAAATCATGCCCTAATAAATCTATTCTCCTTAATAACAAAAATAACGGCAAAGACGTACTCAAGTTTTATGACTATTATTCAATTGATAACAGAACACTAGTTACCGCTGTCGTTTTATTCAAAAATCTTCAATACAGATGAAACAACTGATCAAAGACTTTTTCCCCTATTCAACAGATCTATAAATGAAATTATTCTTATGGTACATCCAAGGGGGGGGGGGCAAAATGGGAAATTCCCCATTACATTTGGCGATTTGTCCATGTTAATTTTTTTTTGTAATTTTGAGGTATGTTT